ATGCGTTGGAGGGAGATTGGATTATGCCCAAATAGATGATCATGCGAAACACCCTATTATCCTGCCTTACAAACACCACATAACCGACATGATCATTCGTTACTATCATATAATCGTTGGTCATATGGGTCAAGAATCGGTTCTCTCTTCTCTGCGACAGGAATTTTGGATCATCAAAGGAAGATCTGCTGTTCGACGCGTGATTAAGTATTGTATTGACTGTCAACGAAGAAAGGCTAAATTGTCAGATCAGTATATGGCTAGCTTACCGCAGGATCGAATAACTCCAGACAAGCCAGCGTTCACATATGTTGGTACAGATTATTTTGGACCCCTACAAGTGAAAGTGAAAAGATCACGTTGCAAGCGCTACGGATGCATCTTCACATGTTTAACAACACGTGCAGTTCACATTGAGATCTAGATAACTCACTCCTTGGATACGGATTCCATGATAAACGCACTCCGCAGGTTTATTTGTATTCGTGGATGCCCAGAACGGCTAAGAAGTGATCGTCGTACAAACTTCGTTTGTGGAAATAAGGAGCTAAACCAAGCGATGGAGGATTGGAATCAACACAAGATTAATGAATTTTGCGTCCAACGAAAGATTGAATGGATTTTCAATGCACCCTCGGCCAGTCACATGAATGGGGTTACGGAGAGAATGATCAGATCTGTACGACAAATACTGAAGGCTATTTTAAAAGAGCAGATTGTAACTGATGAAGTTATTTTGACAGTGATGGCGGAAGTGACGAACATCTTAAATTCGAGGCCGCTAACACGAAATAGCGACAGTCCTTTGGACGACGAACCCATAACTCCTAATCATTTATTGCATCTACGACCGACTACGGCATTACCCCCAGGGTTGTTTAACAAGGAAGACCTGAACTCCAACGCGCATGGAGACAAGCACAGTATTTAGCGGGATTGTTCTGGCGAAGATGGACGAAGGAATATCTACCAACGTTGTTTGAAAGAAAGAAATGGACCGTGCCACGAAGAAATATGAAAGTTGGTGACTTAGTTTTGTTGGCTGACGAGACTTTCCCGAGGGGACAATGGCCTCTTGGTCTAGTTACCGAAGTTCTAACGAGCCGAGATGGATATGTTCGTACTGTCCGCGTGAAGACCAGTTCATCTGTGGCAACCAAAGCTAAGCGACAACGAAAAGGAGAGCATAAAGTCAGCTCTACCATCTTAACACGTCCTGTTCACAAGTTATGTTTTTTGGAATTGGATTCAGATGACTATAACTAACTTAAAATTTGAACTTGCTTGGATTGATTTTTTTGGTAGCTATTCTTTAAGTAAATAGTATGATGACTATTTAGGGGTCGGTGTAGCTACCGTTTCCCACATCCGGAATGTGATTTCCGGCGTACGTTTCCGGTCACGTGACTTTGCTAGCAATAAGCATAAATTCAGCCGCCATTTTTGTTAATTGATATATATTTTCGTGTTGCATGCATTTACAAACTGTTTTCTACGTAAATTGAAATAAAGAGATATTAATTTTTTAAAAGCTCTTGATGTAGCTTATTTTCGTGTGTTAATTCGCTGCCAAGTAGGACTTGGTAACAAAGAATTTCATAAAATCCTCGCACAATCCGCGGGGCGATTACAGGGCTTACTACAATCTCGTTCCCAGAGTATGCCGCCTGTTCGCGAGTTACGTAGTACCTAACCCGCGTACTCTGGGAACGAGATTGGGCTTACCCAGGGTTCGAATTAACAGATAGCGAATCGCGATTCGCTATCCGTTTTGGGGATTTCGCTACTCATTTTGCGATACAGTAATATAAAAAAATCACAATTCAACCTGAGAAGATTTCATATGTAAAAAAGTAAAACGAATAACACTGGAAACGTTTGTTTTGAAACAATTCTTTGTGTATTTTGAGGCAAAACAGTCTCTAATTTGCGTTGATATTTCTGAATAGACAATAGAATTCTGTTGCATTTCCTAATGGCCTCAAGCTGTGTTTTGATTTAATGTTTTAATATGATAAAGCTGACAGTATAAAAATCCACTTGGGAAAGGTCAAATGTCATGTTACGTGTTCATGCAACTATAATCAGATTTGAATTTCACAATCACTTAAAACTAAAACTGTTCAATAACTTTCTAGTAGTTTAATTCATAATGTGTAGTATGCGATGTACGCCAGTTAAATGTTTTGCTTCTGAGCTTTGCCATATTTACTTTATGTACAGTATTTTGTTTGTACTTTAATTTGCTCTAACTGTGAATAAATGCCTTTTAATCAAAATCAAAATGATTCCAGCTCTAGACAAGAAGAACGAAACCATTACCACAGCTGGAAAAAGCATCTTAGAATGAGTAAAATTGCAAAGTTTGGTCATGATTTTGTATATATTTGCATTACACACGGGAAAAATAACTATATTTTCTTCATTTTACACCATTTAGCAACCAATCTTTGCAGTTTTACTCATTCTAAGATGCTCTTTCTAGCTGTGGTGTTGGATTTCGTTCTTCTTGCCTTGATCAAAATTTAGTCTATAGCTAGAATCACCCATTAACTCCTTTAGATATGGTATTGCGCGAATTTTTACGGGTGATAATTGGAATGATTTAATTTTACATCGTCGTTTTCTCACTTTTCTGTGTTGTTAATCTTATACAACTTCCAAAAAATAAAGACTGCTTAATCTTTCTTATTATAACAGCCTTTCTGCTTGAAGATCGAATGCTTAATCCTTTTTTACTGTATATGCAACACAGTAATCACTTTGTAGAAATTCGCTATTCACTTTTTATTGCATGAGTCAATGGGTAGAAATTCGCTATTCACTTTTAAATATTTAATTCGAACCCTGGGCTTACCACTGATTAGGCATAAATTTTATAAATTTGCCTCATACAGCTAGTAAATTAATGGGCTGCTTTTGCAGTAAAAAATCGTCATCAGATATGTAAATTTCTAGTTCAGATCATGTCATATTTTCATTTTTTATCACTCTTGCATCAGGTCTTCAGGCTGTATAATGTTTATAACAGGCATTCAATAACACATTTTCCAAAACAATGTGAACGATCCTGAGGTAAAGTGCGTCGAATGATCCAGAGATTCATCTGGAATATTGCAATCAGAAAAAATTAGTTATGCATGAGGGCACAACTGAAGAAAAGTGGTTGAATGAGTTGAACAAGTGTTTGCTGTTTGTCGGAAATAGCGTCATGCCTGTAATTGTTATTGAGTGTTTGCATATTTAGTTTACTCTTAGATTAATTCATGTACCTTTAAGGCAAGTAATATATTTTTGGAACACTGTTGTATTGACCAGTTTCAGCATAATACGCACAATTTGAGACATGTCTGTCTGAGATGAAGTGTCTTCCCAGTCAATGCACATTTAGATGTTTCTTTGGCCAGGGTTATTTTATTAAATAATTCGCCCCAAAATAATTACATTAACAAATCAGGAAATAAAACATTTGCAAAAAGTGGGCTGTGGCCTAGAGGCCTACTAGAAACCATGTGCCTGGCTTTTACTCAGTAGATAAAAATTTAATAATTAATTAAAATATCATGGTGCCAGTAATTCACGTGGTTTTTAAAGAAAGGTAGAATGGACGACTTACGCTTTAGAAAAATTTTTAATCTGGGAATAACAAAGGATATTTTCTGAAAGAAGTTATCAAAATTAGAAAAACTGCAAAGTTTGGTTGCGAAATGTTGTATAATACGGAAATATAGCCCTGCGAATTTGGCAAATCTGTATACATTTCTATTACGTGCGGAAATTGGTAACTAATTTAGTTACCAATTTAGGCACGTAATACAAAAGTATACAAATTTGCCAACTTTGAAGGGCTATATTTTCCGTATTTTACAACATTTCGCAACTAAACTTTGTAATATTACTAATTCCAAGACGCTCTTTCCAGCTGTGGTGATATATTTCGTTGTTCTTACTTAGATTAAAATTTAGTCTAAAGCGCAAGTCGTCCATTGCGATACAATAGAAGATATATACATAATTGCAAACTATTATTGAAATGTGGTAAAATAATGGAGAACATAATTATAAATTGGACCAGTTTATAGTCACTTATTTTTCAGATTACTCGGTCTCCTTTGTTCTTTGGAGAAAATATATTTAATAACCCCTACGTTATATTGAGACAACGAGGTGTGTTTATTCATGCACATAAATCACATATCCCCTCGTTGCCTCAAAATAACCTATACTTATCCTTTTTAGTCGGAAGAGTGTTTCATCGGAAATAGCGTCATACCTGTAATTGTTATTCAGCTTCATTTATGTTCCCGTACCGGAATATATATAAGGGCAAAGAAACCTCTAATTTAAAAACGACGAACCTCGGTAGAGCGTTGGTAACTTCACTGAATTCTTATTACATGTAGTACATAATATTGAGGTGAGTGTGTTTCGAATACAAGATTTGTTTTTAAAACTTAGATTCCTCCTTAAGCCGTTAGGCGTTGATAATTTTCTTCTCGTCCACGCGGGCTGATCGACGTACTCTTCTAATTTCCAAATCATCCAAGTTATCATTTGGTATCTCTTATATTCTTATACAGTATATATACGAATAGCCTTTTCAAAAAGAGCTCGATTCTTTATATAGGTATTTAGATTTCTTTAACTGCCTAAGAATAGTGGTATTTGGTTTCGGTGCATATGGCTATATTTTTTATATTGGTTTATTGGTATTCTCATGCATGACTAAAAACTGCGCGGTTTTTCCGTTTTAGCGCATGTCTTCACCGGGCTAAAAACATACGCGATCACAAATATATGTCCAAAGTTCTTTTACTGACAAAGTTATTCTATATACATAATATCAATATATAAATTTAGATAGACGTATCCATTTTAAGAACTTTTTATTAAAACTGTTTGCAATGTTAATTAACCTCAACATATTTCATTCTGGTGAAACGAGTGCCTTCAACATTGACTGTAACTTTATATCATTCTAATGTTTAGCGTGAACGAAAATGAAATTTGCTTGTGGAATTGTGTTGTTGGTTGTTATTCACACAGCCACTGCAAGATTGCAATTGGTGCCGTTTGAAGATGTTCGAGATGTTGAGGTATAAGATCTCACAGGAATAACTTAATTCATTCTCCCTGCATTGGTTTGTTACAAAACTTCATAATAATACTATCTATAAAATAACATGTATATAACGCGTGCTCTGATTGGTCGAAACCCGTGTTTGGATCAGGCCATCCAAACACAGAAATTTAAAGTGAATGTTTTTTAAAGTGAAATTTTAACGCGGAAAGCTGTTATTTTATAAAACAATTACTTTATAGTTTCTGTGTTTGGATGGCCTGATCCAAACACTTAGGAATGTTGCTCGAGTTAAGAAAAGCTCGCAAAAGCACTCGCCTTCGGCTCGTGTTTCGCGCGCTTTTCTTAACTCTCGCAACATTCCCGCGTGCTTGGATCAGGTCATCCAAACACGGAAACCATAAAGTAATTGTATAATGAAAAAATGCGTGGTATATACGTTCCTACTGGTTTTGTACATTAATGGGCTGCTTTTGAAGTAAAATCGTCATCAGACATGTAAATTTCCAGTTCAGATCATGTCATCTTTTCATCTTTTATCACTCCTGCATCATGTCTTCATGTATCTTTTATTCATAATCAAGTATGATTTGATTTATGAAATAAATTATATTAAGAACGAACTGAGAGTTGTACGTTTAATAGCTAGGTGTAGAAGCCCCCCCCCCCCCGCCTGGCGTAAGCAAATTGGATGCATTAGCATATCCTACCTTATAAAACCCAGTACTGGGGAATCTTGTCCTCAGTCGTGACAAAGCTGTTACCTCCCACCTCACCCTTGGAGCATGATTCCCGCACCATATTCTTGGGAACTTCTTTCCAGGAAATCGGAGTCCCAAGTCATGCACAGCTCTCTCAATTGTAGTAATTTGCATTCCCGTGTCTTGTCTGAGCAACACTAACCAGCTCCCCCCAGTGCATTTTTTAAGGATTCTTCAGTGGTGGGGAAAAACTGCCAAAGGGCCCATCAGGGGGGGGGGTAGGCCAAAAAATTCAGAATGACGAACCCCCGCCCTTTTATCAATGTTGTGTGTCTTTGCTTGGTAAAATTAATAGCGAAGACTGTTGTTATTCACATGGTGAATCAATATTGAGCCACGAATTTGCTATCCGGAAAATGTAGACGCAATTTACAAACTTAAATACGCATATTTTACGCACAGACATATTACAGTAGCATGCAGGGCCATAGGAAGCTCTATTTGATTGAGGGCTGAAAACGAGGGCCGAAGGCCAGAGGAAATTTTTAAATTTGGGGTCTCTGAAATGCCATTTCCTGGACTTTGGGGGAAGTTTTGACAGAATTCTGATGGTCAGGAAACAGCGTTTTAGTATGTCGAAATTTACAATTTGCTTACAATTTAGTAGTACGTATATACGTATATATATATATATATATATATATATATATATATATATATATATATATATATATATATATATATATATATATATATATATATATATATATATATATATTGGAGAAGTTGCACGAAAATATGGGTAATATGATTCTTTGCAGTTTGTCATGGATAATGTTGCCACTTAAAATTAATCAATTGTCAGTATTCTAAAGGTATAAAGGTCTGCATGATTTTGAAAAAAGAATGATTTATATTAGCAAATTATTGGGAAGGCTGCAGCCCCCCCCCCCCCCCAGGTTGCTGCGGCCTCAGAAGTAATAAACCGAAAAACACTTACCGATTTACGATATTTTAAATGTTATCCATGTAAATGCCATGATTTCGTAATACCCCCATCCCAATACCCCCATCGCCACGGCCCTGGGACCCATTTTCCTTGCTCTCTCCCAGGATAGTATGCGATCGCCGAAGGTGTGAGCCGAGTACCGCAGGCAAAAGTTAGCTACGGGGGTCTGGGGCATGCCCTCCCAGGAATTTTTTTAAACGTGGGTCTCTGAAATAGCATTTCCTGCATTCTGAGAACACATTTTTTTTAAAATCTCAGCTTTTCAAAACAAAGTTCTAATTCACCATTAATGGTGAAATTTGTAATAAATTGCATGCTAAACATTCAAACACAACATAAGTTTAAGTATGCTCACCAACAAATTTTGTTTTTTAAACGTCTTTTCCATGTTAAACTTGTTTACTCAAGACAAGTCCTAGGGCCATGGCTTTGGGGCAATAGGCCATTTTTTTTCTTCAGTGGTGGGGCAGAGGAAGGGGCCCAGTGGGGCAAATGACCCACCACTCCATGGTATTAAAAAATTCCTTGGCTCCCCCCTCCTTCCTCCATATTACGACAATTACGTAATGCCCCTCATGTTCGTCGCATGTCCCAGTATATATGTTCCCCTCCGTTGCTATCGATCAGCCGTATCGCATCCCTGTATACAATGTGTAGGGCTCGACTCACCCTACCGGTTCCAACCCTTTCCCGAGAACAGCTAGATAAAAGTAACTCGGTTATGTAGTCAAATATCGAAGTGTGCACATGGGCCGATGGCCGTAAAGGACTAAAAACGCCAATGCTTGTCCCACGGTCATGGCCTCGTTCGAATTGCCTCTTCAACGGTACTATAACCCTCAAATAAACGCGTCAGATCAGCGTAACATGTTACTGGGTATACGAAACCAGATTGTTAACAATGAATAAATGCAAAGAGTGCCAAAACATGATCTAAAAAGGGAATTTGCATACATTTTAGTATTTGTGCAAAAGGCTGATCTTCTATCAAGAGGAACTACACACATAGTCTGTCGTGATGGCAATTCGTTAAAATGAAGTGTGCCGCATTTATACACAAAGTTCGTCCAGAACTCCAGATGGATCATCGTGGTCTAATATAAATTAGGCATAAATTCAGCCATGCATAGACAGGCTAGTAAATTACTGTTAGCCTCGAAGTATTTCAGTTTAACATAAAACGCGTTGTACAGATGATCATGCGCTGCGGTAACACATCTTAAATATACACCATCTTCTACATACGTATGTAGGCTATTAGGAAAAGAATACGCGTGCATATATAGCGTTTGCCAAATTAAATGTTTGTCCCGAAACATCGTTTGCAGCAAATTCACCAATACTAACCCTGATAGGAACTAAGCGTGTTTTAAATAGATCTTATTTTAGCGACTGAGCTCAAACAACGAGCTATGGTTATTTGCATTCGGTTCGGTACGCTACATGACTTTTGAACTAGATCTTATTTGTTCTTTACTCTTTTTTCGTCAGTTGCCTGTTTGTTCTAAATCGAAAGAAGGGAACCAAACCTTGCATCGTAAAGTATCAGGAGATGGCGGAGTTGTGATCTGCATAAAAAACAATGGAAAATATGTGTGGAAATTTCTCGATGGTAAGATTAACTAGAATTAAGGATCTTTAGGGGGTAAATTGGCACACAGCCCCTCCCATGAGAAGATTCCTTCCATCCTGAATTACACATTCTGTTTCACAAAACAAAACTCAAACGTACATTGTGTTTGTGCATGAGAAGCAACTTAAAAACTTCGTTGTTGTTTTAGACTAGGTCGCCAAACCCCCATGTACATGCCTTATACAGAGACCACCTTATCAAAAATTTCACCTCGTAATGTGATTTGTTTCAGCAGAGAAAATCGAATCTAACGAAATCTTTATATGCTGCTTTCTCTACAGTATATCAGTTTCAGCTTTCAATAAAAAGCAAGCATCATGCAGGCCGACACTAACAATTTCTGTCAATATCCTTCCACAGGTTCCTCTACACTTGGTGAAAAATTCAATCCTGCAAAAGATTGTTCTGATATTGTAGACAATCTTCCCGAAGCAAAAGATGGTTTCTACTGGATAAAACACAACAAGGGAGAACTTTCAAAGGTACAGCACTTTTTCAGTTTTTCAGCTATTAATAACACAACAGGTGACTTTCCGTATTACGATACCGAAAATACATCACGAAAATACATCGCGAGGACTACAGTTTGAGATTCATTGTATTTAAATTTAAGTCGTTAACGTGGAAATTGAGCTGATATCCTCATGTTTCGAGCACGACTATATTTCCCTTTGATCTTGACCCCCAATCCAGACCCAACCCGATCCCTACGGTGCACGAAACATCGGGATGCAACCGAAATTTACCTATGATTCTCTAGGGGTGGTGTGACACACACACAGACGGCGGGGGATTATTGTTGATTGGAATGACGAACAGTCCAGTCACATGGAACGTTCCATCAAATGAGAAACCAGTAGATCCATTGGGACCTCCTCATTGGTCCAGCAAGTTTGGTGACGTCAACGTGCAGGATATTGCAATTCAAATCTCAACCACAAAGGATTTTGAAGACACAAAGGCACATTGGTGAGTTGTAAATATTGTTTAAAGATGAAGTAAATGGTTTGTTGGAGACCATTACACTAATACCGTGCCATAAGCACCATATTATAACAAACCATACTAAGCCATATTACTTATCACGCCGTACCTTGTCAGGTCATTCCATATTGATGTGCATGGTAATATATGCCATACAATGCCATACCAAACCACACCTTGTTATATCATACTTATAAGTAATCATACTTGCCTTATCATACCAATCTAATACCATACCGTTCCACACCATACTAAACCAATCCATTCCATAATATATATTATATAATACCTTATTGGCTGTTTATGGTCACGTGATATTAAATAGAAAATTCCATTTCCCAAAAGTGCAATGGAATACGTTCTATTGCACTCTTTGCGAATGCAATTATACTATGCGTTTTATTTCATTGCACTCTTTGTGTTTTCGATAAATCGCATCCGTCAAAATGCTTCTCAAACGAATCTATTAGTCTATTTTGGTATTATATAAAACAAATTAAATAATGAATGTTTATTCGTGCAGTGGTAAGAATATTTTCATTCGGTGAAAGATGGAATGTTCCATTCAACTCGGCTGTCGCCTCGTTGAATGGAACATTCCATCTTTCACCTCGATCATGAAAATATTCTTACCATTGCACGAATAAACATTCATTATTTGTATACTGTAACATTCACAATTCTTTCAAACCATTTGTATACAGGTCTTACAGGTTAAAAACAAACCGTGCTCTTGGCAATCTGTTTGGTGTTGGAAGTGGTGGATGTACAGACTTTGATTCAGGGATTGGAAATGTGTCTTATGTTAAAGACATCCTTACTGAAACAGTGGTCACTACAAAATTCAGCTGCTCAAACTTTGGACCTTATCAGAACGTCAATCTGGGATGGGTATCTATGATAATAGTACATTGCGTAAAGCACTCTATTAATCTTTGAACAGGTGCAATCAGAAATTTGGGTTGATGTAGCCGCGACGTCCTGGTTAATTAAATTAATCACACTATGTTAGCTGTATATATAATGAGAACTGGTTGGAATTTAACCCCAAAACTGCTTATATTTAACACTAGAGGACGTTTTTACAACGTACGCATAAAACTATAGACATAGTGCAATGTGATTGATTAACACATATAACATATATAGTATTGCATATCTCACAAAGAAACTACATACTCTTGAAATCCCACAGTGCTCCTTTTTCTTCTGGAAATTAGAAATTATAATCACATGCCTATTATGAATAATAATTGCTGCCAAATCCTGCAATAACCTGCGCGCAATCTCATGACATCGGTGAATGAGATGTCACGAAAGAGCGCGCAGACTAGGTCAGCAAAGCTATTATAGGGACCTTAAGCATGTACGACGGCAAGGCGACGACGACAGCCAAAACAAATAAATTATTGCGAAGAAGGGTTGTTGTGTATTATCCACTACATGTATATATGAATTGAGTTCAGTTTGAAGAGATCAAAACAAAGGCTTTATGGTTAAAAACGCTTCTGCTGAGCAAATTTGTAGTTTCACTTGTCGCGTCTTGACATGTTTGCGTTGTACACGAGACGTGAAAATCTCTGGTTTGCCGTTGTAAAAAGCCCTAACACAATGTCTCCAACTCCCGTGGGGCTTTTAATTATTCCTTTCTTTTGTACGAGATCAGGAATATCATTGTGGGAATAGCCGTCGCGTTTCCGTCCTGTTTGCTTAAGGTCCTTAATCTTTCCCGGGCCACGGCTATCTAAATTGCCATGTTAAAGTTATTGCTATGTATATACTGTCGTATTATTATTGCTTTTACAGGGAAGAATGAATTACTGTCTCAGAAACAAATGTCCAAGCGGTTATGCATTTATAAAAGGATTTCCTTTCAAACTTGACAGTTATGGATCTTTTAGGTAAACAGAAAGGCTATAGAGACTCGTTAGATATATGTCATTACGTTGACCAAAGAAGGGATCTAACTTACATTATATATATTTATATTTTCAGTTATAGTGCAAGTTCACAGTTTTCAGGTATCACACACAATGCTACAGCTTTTGTTGGCTGCGATGCTGGCAAGGTTTGATAGTTTGTTACTTAACCCGAGGATTTGGTATTACTAATTTTCCAAGTTACTTACGACGATGAATCTTATTAAATCTTGCCCAACATTTATGTTTAGTGTTGTGTATGTTTTGGTCCCAAAGGTGGAAGAGGTCATTATTGCAGCAGAAAATGTAAAGCTTTTAATGGTGGTACCATCCTCACTGGTCAGGTTTACGTCTGGTATTGGATCAGAACGCGCATGCCTGAACGACTGTGGAAAAGATGTATGGAGTTTAAGATGAAGACTGAAGCTGGGAAACTTGAAACGTATTACATTGATAGAAATACCGGTGCTGCTCATAAGGTATTGTGTAGAGTATTTGGGACGAATTTGTAATTTAGGCAATAAAATCAGACTGGAGGAAATTTGCATGGAATATTCAGAATGAGAAAACATCATTACGGAACATAATTTTGAAAAGCAGGTGAAAAACAAGTATATACAATCGGAAAATATGGAATTATGTTTAAAGTGAGATAAAATATATAAATATACCGTCAATGTCTGTTGACTTCAGGCATGGACAGATTCGAGCATGTATGTATTAAGATAATTAAGTTCTCGTTGGACCATGAGTTTAAAAGATGCCAAGTTGGGAAACGAGCTACATTTCTTGTCTTTTGCGGCTATCATTACAACCAGAAATGAGACGGATGACTCGAATTTTCACATCCGAAAGATCGTGATTGTCATTGTACAAGTGCCTATAGCAACATAATATTTAGCATCGTTGTTGATGACAGCTCACCAAACTTTTCCCTCAAACATCTTCCAATTTCCCCAATGTAGAGAATGCATCATTTAAGGAGATGCATGTGCCGAGGTAGTACCCAAGATATCATGAAATTTATGTACAAAAGATTTTTTAATAAATGCGAAATTTGTTGTTTTATACAGGGCGCATGTTCAGAACAATTTCAGACATTCTTGAATGAAGGTGTAAGTCAATATAATATGTTATATATTTCTATCTTCCAAAATGATACATTGGAAGTGACTATAATCTATATCTAGAAACTTTAGTGCGAAATCTACCTTCTGGGGTTAATTTCGAAGGCCAGGACGCTTGTTTATAGTCAACAATCACGAAACAACTTTATGCCAACGTAATTAATCACTGTCAATGTTAAACTCTTTCAGACACTCTTGGTAAAAAACAAGGAAAGTTTTAGGAACCTTCCACCAGTGCCAGGACAGATTTCATATCGCGAGGACAACAAGAAACTTTATGTGAACAAAGGAAATTAATGGGATGCCATCGGTAGTGAAAAAGAAGTAAGTTTTGACAGATGTTAACAGTATTCGTGAAAAAGAAGTAAGTCTTGAGATATAACAGTATGTATTTCTGTGCCTAAAACATGGGGCGAGTTAACTACATTTCCTCCTTGCAAGACTCAATACAGGACATTTTACCTCCACAGTATTACGTAACTTTTGTGACTTTTTCTTGATTTTTATATGGTTTTTAAGACACAAAACCTGCGAAAAAATATGACTGCAAAATTTCAGAGTCTTGAAAACCTCCTTGAAGACAAGTTGAAAAAGATTGAAGGAAGATTAAATGGTAAGTTGAAGTGCACCATACTGCTGTGTTTACAAGATGTTTCCCATTGTGAATTAATTATTCCAAATCGCTATATAGTCATTATTGGGTGGCCATTATAGGCAGCGGCAGATTGAGAAAGATACCTGAAAAATATAAACAAAGGCCCTTCGCTCAAAACATCGAAGTTCTGCTCATATTTTTTAGGTAGTTGTATCTCTCTCAATCCACATAGCTATATAATATTATGTTATTGAGGTTATAAAATTAGTTCGATGTTTTGTGTTTCTTTTACTTTTAGCAACAATGATCTGAGCGATAAAACTGTCGCAAGCAAGTTTATTTATAATAGCTAGTAATATAATAATTATACTAGAAATACATGCATGCAACAACCCCTCGCCTATATTTTCCAAACATTGTTTCGACATAAAGTATGGAAGATATTATTTCGCTGGCCTTAGGGTGCACGTGACAAAACGTAACAAAGCAACGACTAACCCTACTCCAAACACCAACTCTAACCCTAATCCTTACCCTATAAACCCTAATCCTACTCCAAATTTGTTTCTAAACCAATCTTGAAGAAAAAAGTTTTGACGAAATGTCATTTGAGGTCAGCAAATAGTTGATGCCATGAAGTATTCGTAATTACGCCAACACTGAGCGCAGGCTCGCGTTGCTCACGTCATGTTAGTCATGGCAACACGATAATTGTTTTTTTAATTTTTTGTACAAACCTTCAAAAAATAGATGAAACTTGAATACTTTTAAATACAGAACTATCAATTTATAAAATATATAAAGTAGGTATATTATTTTGTTCTCTATGGGCTTTTTTAATGTAAAATTCAAAATGAAACTCTACGTAAAACGTTTTTAAATGTGAATTGAAATTAACTGCTTTTTGCCGATATTTTTAAACTTCTCAACTCGAGCTTCAACTTTTTACTCGCACTTTGAAATTAAATTTAATTCGTACAGGACGCTAATGAAAATAATTTGCTTTCCTTTTTATTATGAACTTCTACAAAAGTTAATTTAAGTAAGAAACTTTCGCATACAATGCATAGGAAAGACTTGAACAACAAGAACAAAGTCTATAATATTACTAGAAATACATGCATGCAACAACCCCTCGCCTATATTTTCCAAACATTGTTTCAACATGAAGTATTCGTAACTACGCCAACACTGAACGCAGGCTCGCGTTGCCACGTCATGTTAGTCATGGCAACACGATAATTGTTTTTTTAATTTTTGTACAAACCGGGAAAAATATATGAAATTTGAACACTTTTAAATACAGAACTATCAATTTCTAAAATATTTAAAGAAGGTATAATATTTTCGTTTCTATGGGCTTTATTTTAATGTAAAATTTAAAACGAAACTCTACGCAAAAGTTTTTAAATGTGAATTGAAATTAACTGCTTTTTGCCGATATTTTTAAACTTCTCAACTCGAGCTTCAACTTTTTACTCGCACTTTGAAATGAAACAAATTTAATTCGTACAGGAGGCTAATGAAAATAATTTGCTTTCCTTTTTATCATGAACTTCTACAAAAGTTAATTTAACCATAGGCAGCCCAGCAAAATGTGTAAAAATGCATTAAAAGCTTAAAAATACGTATAAAGTTCGTCTCAATTTGCTACCAAGCGATTTATTTGTGTAGCTCATTATACATGCAGATTCCGATGTTTACGTCATTGTATTTTCATCGGAATCTGCATGTATAATGAGCTACACAAATAAATCGCTTGATAGCAAATTGAGACGAACTTTATACGTATTTTTAAGCGTTTAATGCATTTTTACACATTTTGCTGGGCTGCCTATGATTTAACTAAGAAACTTTCGCAAACAATGCATAGGGAAGACTTGAACATCAAGAACAAAGTCTATATTATTAAATACAAAGTCATACATAAACAATTGAAACAAACTTGTCCTATACTTTAGGATTTATCATATAATATCAATTCTTATCAATGTTTACGTTTAAAAATTGCAAAAAAGTTGTACAATTTGTTATGTGAAACGATTTTCCGAGCTTTCTTACATGTATTTTTTTATATTTTTTGCCTTCTTCACTCCTGGCAAACAGCCATATTTTGAGATCAGTGATGACCACCCACTCAACACCGTTGGTGAGCGCCCACGATCATTGATGAACTTTAGACTTCGCTAATGCTTTTGTTTCCCCGGGTGTAAATAGCCGGGGGGAATTAGTACCCTCGCACGTCGTCGGCTCGGGGACAAAGTCATACATAAACTTAGCCTGATAACAGACCTACGCTTCGCCCGCCCTAAAATTCACGGGTCGACGAAGGGCGAAACGTAGGTGTGATGAAAATGTTGTCAAAAGTGCATGTAAGTCGACCGCCTGGCGGTCGACAAAGCTGATTGGCTAATTCACAGGGAAATAGGTTGTGATTGGTCGGTCGCTAACATGAAAAGATTTGAAAAGATCAATATTTTCAACGGTAAATCAACGCATATAAATATGCATACAGTTAATATTCTAAATATTTTGTGATGCCGAACGACAACTAGTCTATGATCAGTATCTTAATCTACCGTCTAAAATTAAAACTAGAGGGGAGTAGATCAGTACGTGTCAAATTCTTCAGCGTTGTATCTTTCCGTTGTAATAAACAATACAATATATAATTTTTTATACACGATCTAAGTTTTGTGATTATAAATCATAGTAAAACTCGGATACAAATATGTGCGCATTCATGATTTACATTTTGATAACATAGCACGTACAAAATATTTTATTTAGATTTTACCATTGTATGGCGATTTCAAAATGTATAAATTGTAAGAGTTGGGATGCAATTCAACAATGGCACATTGGCCATTGCCAAATTTGCGTAAGCAGATTTTATCGCATTTATAGAATGTGTTGAAAATGTTGTATTATTACTAGCTGTAACTGTTCATTTACAAAGGTTTAAGTATATAACTGCAACGGGCTCCATGGCGTTACCAATATTTTAAATATTTATCCGAATATCTGCACTTATCGACTCTTACTAGTTTACATGCAAACTTGCAATAAAGTGAAATCGACAACTTTCATTGTATTTTTAGGTATTACATGTGTGTCAATCATCATCGTTAATTATTGCAAAATGCAAAGTGGGCGGAAGGCGCTTTTGACAACATTTTCATCAGACCTACGTTTCGCCCTTTCCGTCGACGAATTTTAGGGCGGGCGAAACGTAGGACTGTTATCAGGCTAACATAAACTAGAAAATACATGCATGCAGAAACCCTCGCCTTGCTGACAAAACCATTGTATTTTCCGAACATGAAGTATCTAAAGTAGTTGTCATGGTAACACGATAATTTTTTAAGAATCAGTGTGACCAGATTTGGTAAAAAGTTTTACTTTAGGTAAAATTTCGTGAATTTTCAAGAAAATTTTGTAATGAGTTTCTTTTGGTAAAATTTTGGTAAAATATGAAAGGTTTGAATTATTAAAAATAGTTGGTAAAAATGTGTGTTTTTTGTTTAATAACGTGCTCAAAGTGATGAACAGAACTGCCAAGCCTAAGAAATAAAGCCTTATCATTAGCAAAAACTGCAATACGATTAAAGCAACAAGTATTTCGAGACAATTTTTGTTAATATTTTTTCTACTTTGATGACGTAACTATTGTTTTTTGGCATTATCATGACGTAATTATTTGGGAAGCCGACATTTGGTAAAATTTTTCTTAATTTAGTAAAATTTGAACAAAATTTTGGTAATGACTGCTGAAAAAGTCTGGTCACACTGTTAAGAATATTCTTACAAATAAAAAATCGCTTAAAAATATCACTTTTAATTACAAAATTATTAATTTCCCAACATATATATATGTTAGGTATATTATTATACGTAATATAAGCCTCAATTTAAGGTAAAATTCAATCACAAACGCTTCGCAAAACGTTTTAAAGTCACTAGTGTTCTTTATGAAACTAAAGTAACTGCCTTTTAATTAAAATGGTTTTATCGATAAACTTTGAGTTTGCAATAAAATGATTTAAAATTCTCGCTTGCAAATAACTTTGCTTTCTTTTTTATTTAAAAAAATTCAATATCATAAAAAAGGGAATCAATAGTTAAAGATACACTGAAATTATATGCTGTCTTGTTTAGTTGTTTCATTATACGCAAAGGCCGTCGGGTTTTAAACCATTATAAAATCAAAATTTAAAACAAACTTACCTTCGTTAACGTCGGATCCTTTCTATTAGCCGATTCTTTCGCAGTTTCTTTCTAAGAGAGCTTTTGAAATTTACAAAATCTCGCAAAAATGAAATATATTTGCAAGAAATGTTTGTTATTTCGCTGTCGTCTGTCGTCATGCAGTCGTTATAATGCAAACTTTAAATTGGACCAATCAATGTCCGCTATTCATGACAGTCCGCCATATTTTTGAGATCAGTGAGGATGACCACCCACCCAACACCGTTGGTGACCCACGCCCGCGATAATTGATGAACTTTAGACTCCGCTAATGCTTTTGTTTCCCCGGGTGTAAATAGCCGGGGGGAATTAGTACCCTCGCACGGCGCTTCGCGCCGTCGGCTCGGGGACTAGAAAATACATGCATGCAGCAACCCCTCGCCTTTCTTAGCAGATAAAGTATAAAAACTCCACATAAAGTATTAGACCATTATAAACAAACATAAAAACACAACTGATGCACTAGCTTTATAATGAACGATAACATTCACTGCAATTTTGATGCCTACCAGCTTGCATTTATAAAGTGAATTAACGAGTTAAGCAAGTACGGCATGGAATTTTACTACTGAAATGTTTACACTTACCCAAACCGGCACAACAACGATTAAATATCAAAGTATCAACATCAAAACATCAAAACATCAAGACATCAAAACAATTATTATACAAACTTTGTTTCACGGTTGAACAGCCACTAATTCATGAAATGCAGGCCTATTTCCAGTTAAAACCGAGAAAAAAAAGTGTTGTACCTTTTAACGAAATTTAAAACAAAAAATTGACGTAAAATAGCAAAATACGTCCTTTCAAAATGAAAAACAATTGCTTCGACAGAGTTTGTACTCGCGCATGCGCATAACGTCGAAAACCGTTCATGACATAAACAAAATGGAGGACAACTTTGCACCATTGCTTTGCACCAGTGAACTCCATGTCTTTTATCTGGAATGATAACATGCTGGAGAAACGTGAAGCCAATACCAACGCCACTTGACGCGCGCTGATTCGTGATAGACCGCGCGGTGATGGCGTATAAGGAGACTGAAACTGACGTACTATATGGCGTGGCGATCAGACCGCGCGGTGATGGCGTATAAAGGGACTGAAACTGACGTACTATATGGCGTGGAGGGCTGACGCCACTGCTCACGCGAGGCTTCACTTTTTAACTGCCAAATGACTGAATGTTATCGTTCCAGGTAAATAGATTGAGTTCACTGCTTTGCACTCCGCTATGTTTTCACATACCCGGGTATAATTAGCCGTGAGGAATTAGTACCCTCGCACGGCGCTTCGCACCGCCGGCTCGGAGACAATTGAAACAAACTTGCCCTGCACTGTAGGCTATACTTTAGGATTTCTCATACTAAATCAATTTTTATAAATGTTCACGTTAAAAAATTGAAAAAAAATACAATTAATTTGTTATGTGAAACGATTTTCCAAGCTTTCTTATAAAATGTATAGGATGTATTTTTTATATTTTCCCCTTCTTCACTCCTGGCAAAGTTGGCAAACAGCCATATTTTGAGATCAGTGAGATGACCACCCATACACCATGCGCCCGCAATATTTGATAAACTTTAGACTTCGCTGGTGCGTTTCTTTCCCCGGGTGTAAATACCCGGTCGGAATTAGTACCCTCACCCCGGGCTTACGCCCGGAACGGCGATCCGCGCCGTTCGCTCGGGGATTACTAGCTATTATAAATAAACTTGCTTGCGACAGTTTTATCGCACAAATGACAGATCATTGTTGCTAAAAGAAACACAAAACATTCTCATTGTCATTGAAGAGTTTGCAACCTATAAAATAATTATGGCAGGAAATCCTCGCTAATTTGAATGGCTTGAAAACATTCAAGTTTTGAAGTATGAACTATCGTTTCTCGTGTGGCAGTTTTTTGCTCAGATCATTTTTGCTAAAAGTTTCTTATATACATGGCCATGGTATAAATTTACATTTTTTATTTCAGCGAAGTCACTTTATGTTCAAAATTAAACAAGCACAGGAAAAACTTGTAACGATATCCTAACAGCAAATAAATTCGCCTGCGTCAATTCCTTTCCAGTACACACCACATGCGATATACTTTTTAACACTCGTGTGTTACATTTAAATAATATAATTATTTTATTTTATTTCAGCCAAGTCAATCCCGGGAAAGTCTTGTAAAGATATCATAGCAAGAAATAAATTCGCTGTATCAGGAACTTATTGGATCCAGCCTGCAGTCAATAAGTTATTTCAAGTTTACTGTGACATGGAAACTCACGGGGGAGGCTGGACCTTGGTTTACAGCTACACCTTTACAAATTACAACAGTTTTACCTCGCCAAGCAATGCCGTAACCCCCCGTCCAAACTGGCCTGCCAGTGACGCCAATGTCCCAATCTCAACCACTCCTCCACTCAGTGAGTCATCTCTTGGGGCTGTAGACTGGAATCTTTGGAAGACTATTGGAAAAGAGTTCATGATCAAGTCAAATATCAATGATTGGATTGTTTGTCAACCAAATGGTGGAAGTCTGGTCACAAAGATAGAAGGATCAATGAGTTGTCAGAATATAAAGAACGTGGCAACAGCTTGTGGTGGTGTGGCACCGTATAGAGTTTTTTGGTACAATATTGGACCAACACTCCATGCTTCTTCGTATTACTATTACTTTGATGGACACACAGGTAATAGCTGGCCAACACATGATCCTTGTGGCAAAGATGAGACTGATTACAAGAAAGGAGTCAGCAACCCTGGCGGACAAATCTATCTTCGCTAGAATCCAAACTTTCACATTCAGTATTTTATCTTATATAACACTTGATATAACATGCACAAGTAATCAGGACATAGATATTGGTAAGCGTTCTCCGGTATTATCCATAATATCGAAAAACTACACAACCTGAGAAATAGAAAACATTTAGCAGTACTATTATTAACTTTGCATTGGTAATCGAGAAATACACTTAATTCATGTTTTTTGCAGTCTATTCATTAATTCCAAGCACATATTACGCTGCATTAATATCGATAGGGATAGCTAGGCTCAGACTAGTCTTCTGTGCACGCCTTTTATTTCGGCTCTAAATCAAGGAGCCCTTAAGGAGCCCTGGGAACGAAGATGTTCGTGAGAACAATAACTCGTTCCCAAGTCCCTACATCTACGCGCTGTTCAATACTAAATTTCGCCATTTTCCTCTTTCATCTCGCACGGCGCACCTTTTCGAACCCAAAATAAACGCCATCACGAGAATCACGTGACCTAAAAACGTATTGTCAACATTCAGTAGAAAAATTGTGATGATTGACATTCGATGTTACTAAAAAAACCTAGCAAATATTCTATCATGTTTCAAGACGTACGTATCATTCCTCTGTGCATATTCGTGTGAACACAAGACAAGCTATCTTGAAGAACTATAATCATAGACATAACCCTTGAGACTGTTCCTTATAACATTGCAAAAGTTAATGCAAATTGGAAAAAAAAACCTTCGTCACCCCCTTCTTCCCCAGTTGGATATTGAGAATACGTAAGCCCGAAACAGCTTTTGGTAGTTTACCACGACACAAACTCGACATTAAGAGAAATCGCAGTTACCAGCTGAAGTCGGTATTATTACCTATCAATCCAAAATAAGACCAATTCTCGAGTATGCATCACCTGTCTGGGCGGGACTCCCTAATTACCTGCGAGATGAAATAGAGCGGGTTCAATCCAGGAGCTTAAGAATCCTTGGCCTGGAAAAAGATTACCTACCACCGTTGAACAAAAGAAGGGAAGAGGCAACTAGTCGAGAAGTTGATAGGTTTATGAACGATCCACACCATCCCTGTCGCAGTGTTTTGCCAAAATTAATTAACAATCAGTACAATTTAAGGAACATTGACCGGAATCGCAATATATCATTCTTCTCAGGAACTGAAAGGCATAAACATTCATTTTCAGGTAGAGCTTGTAAATATGTATAAATAGTTTTAACTTATTAGAAGAACTTATTAGATTAAAGAATTTATTAGTTTTAACTTCTTAGTTAGTTTTCTAAATTATCTTACAACAATTTGTAATATAAAGACATATCCGCAGCATATATACTTTCTTAAACAAGTAATTGTAAGTCCATTGTACTTTTTTATCTTAAGATGGATGAATAAAGCTATTATTATTAATACTGGAGGAAAGAACGAGCAAATTTCCACCCCCGAATTCCACGTTACGTAGTTTATTTGAATGAAAATAATATCTATTTGCAAAATCATTTCAATTCAAATTTTGGTGAACTGCAACAATACCGTATGTTGGATTTCGCTTGTTTGGCCATGCCGTAAAATGTAGTAGTTTTAGGATATTTGAGGATTACGTATGACAAATTAACACGAAGAGTACCATTAGGGACAGTCGATCAAGTTAAGGGTTCTACATCTGAGCCATGAATTTTCAATATCCTCTAAACCGTGATAAAATATTGATGTACAATTCCTAAGTTTGTAATCTTTTAACATATCGTTGTTGCTCATGAACACACTGAGCAGTGATGGACCAAAAAACGATACCGTAATAACAATCATGAACGCGTTAATTGTCACGTGACGTAGCCAGTACTTTGATGAGACTTTTTGCATTGGAATGTCATAATAATGAATTTGAATAAATACTGAGATTATGTTGAATACAAAATCTATGGCCAAACTTATGGCTATCCTGATTAAGGAATTTTGTATTACTTGCCAGGGTGGAACATCGAAGCTCGTTACAAGATAACAGGCTAAATATGTCTGACTTAAGATGACCGTTGTGTATTCAAATAAGATATTCTGAATTTCCAGATCTGCGTTGAATCGACGAATACGTGGCGAATTTAAAGGTTGCACCGTCAATCTTGGCCCACAGCATGATCTATTGTAGAATTTAATAACAGACGTCCAAATACTTATCCGCCAGTTAAGAGTTGCCTTACTTAAAACGTTCGAGACTCCATGTAACAACGATAATCCAATAAAAAGCCAGATATTTTGAAAACCCGACTGCATAGTTTGATATAATACAATGGAGCAGCCACGTACAAAGTAACACAATGCAAAAGCTCGGTCTGAGGCAATAATCTCCGAGCTCATTCTGACAGCAATGTATTTTGCTATCGCATTGAGAGGGACTATCAGTCCTGGAGTGAATGCAGCGATTATGGCTTTTCGAATCTTGGCTTCAGTTTCTCTAAAATACTTGACAATAATATCAGTATAGACATAAGCAAGTAAGCAGGAACAAAGGAAAGTGAACGAAAGGATGAAAAATATGCGGAATATGCTGTACGATGTTGTTGGGTTAACTTTCTTGAATTTACGAGCAACTAGACAAGCACCACAGAGAATGGAAAACAAGAATATGAAACTGCTGGGGATTCTAAAATAAGTCAAAGAAACAATTTAATCAATGTGTAAGCCCTTGCTTATGATTTTAGAACGAATTAAGAACCGCGCTCGAATTGCGCGATCTTCTCATTAATAGACAGATTTAGATCGAGGACGCGGACACAGAATAGAAAATATACCAGAAGCCTCACTGTACACCTTTCCCTAACATTTTCGCGTCCGCAATATTCGCCTTGCGGATCAAAAATTGCGCACACTAGACGACGTGTGTGACATTTCCTGCGAACATCATGTCAGCGTCAATCTGGCGTTAATTCCTCAAATCAATGTTTTTTCTTGAAATTCACAAAACATGCTCAAAGTGTATGCTGCATATTCAGCAATTATTGTGTAAATATTTTACGCTTTTGTTTTTTAAGTCGTGTCTTCCTGTTGCGATGACCCATTATCGACAATGGACTACTCAATGGTGTAGTTTTCATCGACTTAAAAAAAGCTTTCGATACTATTGATCACGCAATTCTTCTGGACAAACTTGCTCAATACGGGGTTGATGAAAACGCATCAACATGGTTCCACTCTTATCTAACCGATCGTACACAAAGATGTTGTGTAAATGGACATCTATCAAGTAATCGACCAATCACTTACGGTGCCCCCCAAGGTTCAATAATAGGTCCCCTTTTATTCTTGGTCTATATCAATGACTTGCCAAACTGTCTGAACAATGGCTTATCGAGTATGTACGCGGATGACACAAATATTAGCTTCCAAAGCTATAATCTTACTGATCTTGAATAAATTATGAACACCGAGCTGAGTAGTTTAAACACCTGGCTCAATGCGAACAGATTAAGCTTAAACATTACTAAAACTGAATTTATGGTCATTGGCTCTCGACAGAAGCTGATGTATCATGATGTTAACAATCTTAATATATGCGTAGATAACACTCAAATTAAAAGAGTACAGTACACGAAATCCTTAAGTGTAACAATTGATGAAAATTTAACTTGGAAGAACCATATTGATACTATCTGTAAAAAAGTATCCTCAGGAATTGGTGCCCTTAAACGAGTGAGGCGATTTGTAAACAAGGAAACTGCGGTGAAAGCGTAAAGTGGTTTAATTGAGTCTTACCTTGATTACTGCTGCCCGGTTTGAGACGGTATCGGTAGCGAGCTGAGCAGTAAGTTACAAAAGTTACAAAACCGTGCTGCTCGTATGATCACCGAAAGCACATATGAAACCTCCTTGAATTCTTTACTGGAGGAGTTAAACTAGCACCAGTTATCTATTAATCTATAAAACTATAAACAAGAGGGTACCAGAATATCTACAAGACATTGATTTACTTCGCGATCTTGTCCTTAATTACAGATTGAGAAACAATGAAAATACAATACTTGTCCCTAAGCCACATGCAGATTATCTAAAGCGCTCACTCAGCTACGATGGAGCTGTTTTATGGAATAGTTTGCCAACTGAACTTCGTTCGGTACAATCTCTTAGTGCTTTTAAACGAGGTCTAGAATGTTGGTTAGCTTAGACTTACATGTACACGGCAATCATGTAAATCAGTACTGTTCTGTTTTTATGTAAATAGCATTTGTATTTTATTTTCCTTTTCCTCCTTTTTCTATACTTTATATACATCTATATTATGTAAATTTTTACTGATGATTCTACCATGTCAAAATAAAGTTATAATAATAATAATAATAATAATAATAATAATAATAATAATAATAATAATGGAAACTTTATTAAATGTTTTTCTTTACATACATATACAATCGTAAATCTATCTCATAAAGGTAACTTACGGTTGGCTATTTGAATCACAATTATACTAAACTAAAATAACAGAACAAAGTGCATGCAATATATATATATATATATACAATGAGATAAGTCAAATTGTTAGTAAATCCGGATTTTCCCATTCCTTATTTCGGCAACAGAAAATGTAATATGTAGTTCTAATAGCAATAGTCATCATTTTCCTAACGCAGTACATTTGGTGGTTTTTGTCAAGACCAATACTATCTAACATGTCTAAAAATGTATAACATTCTTCTGCAAAAATACCTAAAGAGCTGATGGAGAGGTTTATAAATTTAGCTTGGTTAAAATTTTTACCTAGCTGTCTCAATAGTTCTCTATATTTATCCTTCTTCCGTTTTACGTTGTTTTTGAGGTTTGTCTCATAACCAGTGGTGAGTTCAACCACATATAAGGAACCATTTGAGCACGATAATAACAAATCTGGGCGATACGTATCACCAGTGAGTATTGAAGGGCTTTTGAATCCATTTAGGTCGGCGTAGAGAGTAGAACCGTCAACAGTTTGTAACTGATGAGCAAGAAAGTTCAGGACTGAATTGTGTTTCCACGTAAATCGGTCGAGATAAAACTGACATCCAGCTACTATGTGTAGTAATGTTTCAGGGCTAAGACAAAAAGAACAGTCTGAATTTGAAGATATTGCCCATCTGTGTAGGTTTTTGCGCGTCGGAAGAGAGTTGTTAATGTAACGAATGGTAAAGTTGTAAATGTTTTTCGGGAGCTTTGATTGGGCGACGGACCACACCTTGCTAAGCTGAGGTAAAGCGAACTTCGTGACGCTGCAGAAAAAGGATCCTTGACTGGTTAAGTGGTTTAGGAGTTTGTTTTCGTGTCCAGAACGGAAATCTTTGAGAACTTCCTTAGTAGAGTTATAAGCGTCATATTGGATATTAGTATGGTTACTGGTTGCTTTCCACAGGTCGTTAGTTGATTCATTAGGAGAAGATTTTAAAGCTTTTCGGAGGACTGTTTGACACTGGATAAATTTTACAGATGGAGGATAAATACTCAGGCCAAATTTGTTATTTGTTAGAAAGACAGTACTTAGTGTTCCTGATATTGGTACTTCAAGCCATCTGCGGATATATTTGTTGGCAATAGAGTCGATATTTTCAGTAACCCATGTTTTAGAGAGTGTTGCGACGGTGAAGTGCCAGGCTAACTTGGACAAGACGTAGCGACTGTAGAGGAGCAGTTTATTTTTGGGGTGTAGTGGCTTTGAGTCAATATCATACATTAGTTCATTAAGTAGGGTGGTTAGTTCAGTTTTGTGATTATCATTCGACATGTGGAAATCAAATCATAATAATAATAATAATAATAATAATAATAATAATAATAATAATAATAATAATAATAATAATAATAATAATAATAATAATAATAATAATAATAATAATAATAATAATAATAATAATAATAATAATTTATAAAATCTAAATTGTTGTAGTATGTTATAGTATATGTTATAGTAAGCAGTTAATTTATGGTAAAAGTCTAAGCCTAAATTTTGGCACGAGAATTGTCTACTTCGAAGTCCGTTTCTTGAACGTTCGTTGTTATCCTCCTGGGTGCTCTAGTCCCTCTGAGACAAAGTAGAGCTGACCGCAAGATGGCAAAGGAGACCTTGGCTCGTATTCAGGACATGGTCGTAGAGTAGTCTTCGCCTTTCTTCGCTGCTATGAGCTCGGCCAATCTGCTATGATACCTCTTGCACTCTTCACTCATGCCTCCGGTCGTTGTAAATACTAATGGTGTAAAAGTTCCGTGTTCTATCTCCATCACTCTTTTGGCATACATCCTCTTCTTCTCGTTTTCATGTTGCCTGTATATCTGTTGAGGGCTCAGGTCTTTGTAGGATTCCGCGTTGGGGTGACAAACCCTAACGTCAAAGAACGCGGACCTTTGTTTCTCCCAAAACCCTCGAGCGTGGATATCTAGGCGAGCGTCGGATGCAGTGTATTTGCTTCTCTTGGTAAAACCTCGGCAGTTAACTCTTGAAGAACGGGTTCAACCTCGACATCATTACAGACGATGTTAAGCATATCAGCCTCAAGATCCCGCAGCTCGTTGTGGCGCTGTATGATGAACCCACCTCGCTTGCAGATCATTGCGTGATCAATATTGAAAGTATCGCCACACACACATACTGATGGCTTATCAGCAATTTTTCACTCATATCTCTGATTTACTGCGTCTCGAAACGGGCGTGGTTCAGATTGTAGTCCATTTCCTTAATGGGGATAACTGTTAGACAGTTGGATGCACCTTTTTCAGTTGCTAGTTCCATAGCACGCCGTGTTTTCGGGGGTAGAGAGTTCTTAATACCATCCCGTTTAGCCTGAAGTACTTCGTTCTTTTCATTTCGCGCATTCTGCTGCAGTGTGTGAATAACAGAGTCATCTGGAATTTCGTAGGCTTGTGCGATAATTTTCTCTACCAGTGGCGCTGTGGTCTTTATCGACGTTTGGTACTGCAGTGCTGCATCTTGTCTAGGATTTATAAGGCCAATACCGCCCATTCGTACTGGGAGTGTCAGGAGATCCCTTTCACTCTTTGTACAGTGATGATCCGTAATTGATGGTATCAGGACATCAGCAATAGCACGCTCCAAGGGCTTCAGCAAATCTTCTATATCTGGAAGTGTTCTAAGAAAATACGTCCATCGATGGCGGAGGCCAAAGGTGAAGGCGGCATAGCAGGCTTGTGGGTGTGACGCTGCGAATTCAGCTAGCTTGACGATTTGGCTAACCCAGTCCTCTACCTTGCAGTTGACGTATTCTTACAGGAAAGCCATAGAACCCAAGGCTGCGCCCAAATGCTTTTGCCCCTGCGCAGAGATATTGATCGCTGTCCCATCAAAAATAGCATGAGCACTTTCTTCTTTTCCAGGCTTTATGATCAGCCAGCATTTCTTAGCATTTGGAAAGTATCCCAAATTAGGGCCAGCTTCATTCAGGTGTTCCCACCATCGCTTGATATCTTCCAGAAATCCCGCGCCACTTGCGTCGTCAGCAAACCAACATTGCTTAACATTGCTTGACACATTCAATCCGGTGATCAGGGGTTGAAGACTGATGGCATACATCCCCATGGCCAGGGGATCTCCTTGTGTGGTACCCTCGGTGGACTTGATCTCTCCTCCACCAGATATAAATAGTCTAGCTGGTTCGCGATAGGTGTTAATTGCGTAAGTTGACATAGATGGACACAGAACTGTTATGTTGTGGAGTGCAGCCGCTCGATTGAGTGCGTTGAATGCGTTTGAGGCATCAATCAGAAGTACGGCATCTGTCTCGTCTGCTTCAAATATGGAGTGCATCGCATGAATAGCTGCCTCACTTCCGCTCTTAAAACCTGCGCACACCTGTAGCGAGCCACTGGCATCAATCACGTCGGGCTTAATCACTTTCATAACACATTTCCCGACAATCCTCCTGATAACTTCCCCGACGCCAATTGGACAAACTGCACCCTCGCCTTTGTCAAGAGGTATAAGCCTGTTGGCTAATATAGGCTCGATAGTTCTCGGGTCAATGTATTTCGTACATAGCCGCCGGGTCATTGTTGCTACTGCCTCACACAAGTTCACGCCTGATTTCTTAAACGATTTACATGCGAAAATACGCTTGAATCCATTTGCATCCACTCCTGAAGGGCCGCCGGAGCCCTTGGTTCGCAATGCTGTCTCGCGTATCATTTCGCCATTGATCTGCTGATATAACGAATCGTGCACTTCCTCAAATGGCCCGAAGAGTAATGAGCCAAGTTTGGCCTCTTGTGCCTCAGGGTGTTTCTCCTGAAGCTGTCTCATCACGTCGTCAGTCAAAGGCAACACTCCATCACAATCAGCCTCACTGAGATATCTCAAAGCAGAATTGATCTGACCTTCCATGACCAACTTGGCAAATATCTTTGCTTTATTTGGAGGCTCCGTCCTTTTAGCCTTTGCTAGACGCTTTTGAATGGACCGGCCTTCACAAAGTAAGCTCTCGACTGCTCCTTCTTTCCATAGCGCTAGTCGTTTTTCCAAGCACTCTTCGTGATCTTTTGCCTTCGATTTTACGCTTGGCTTTTGCAGTGCCGTTGCCAAGAGAACAATTGCAGCTTTCAGCGCTATGTGTTGTGTTTGCGATGCGTTGTTCCAATCGTTTATATGTTGTGTTAGCTGGTCGATAAAGTCTCGCCCAACTTTGCCATACGGGACGAGAAAGGCATTTTTACGCCATCGCGTAATTTCATCGTATGCATTAACTATGGTTGACGAGTTGACCGTAATTATTGAGCCGTCCTCTCTGCGTCCCCAGATGGTAATCGATGGTATATCAACAGCAACATAGTCGGGTAAACGTCCTGCTTCATGTATGCCGGCGTGTGGTTCACCAGGACAGTCATTGGCCACTTCAAAGCTCTCTACAGCTTCGGTTTCTTGCCGTTCGTGACTATTTTGGACAATATCATTGTCTGTATGCAAATCCAGATTGCTGTTTACCTCCAAATTTGCATTTTGACTAATGGTGTTTTGATTTTCAAAATTGCTAAATTCATGTTGTGAAATCGTGTTGTGCCTTCTCTGGTTTTCATCTAATGTCTGCTCTCTTTCGTCATCGATAACCGCTCCGCCGCTTACCTTACCGATAGGACGAGTCTCAGCTGTAGCGTTAATTTTCTCAAGCCTAGCGGCTTGATCTCGCAGGTTTTGGCTCTTCAATCCAAGATGTTCGTATCCTTTCTTGTCCCACAGATCGTTCATAACTCGTATATAGCCCTTCTTTCTGCCGTTCACATGGCATGGCGGGTTTTCCGATTTAAGGAATTCCATCGCTTTTTTCTTACATTCTAGCAGATCTGTATTCATTTGCTCTGTCCATTTTAATTTCGATCGCTGCTGTCGCGACATCGTGTATAAAAAAATATTTATTAAAATTGGCCCAATAGCTGACTAAAACATCATCTTCTCCAATATATACACAAAATTTTCCTTTCTTAATTGAACATCAAAGTTAAAAAGCATTCAGGTTTCCAAAGAGCAAGTAAAAGTTGATAAATTTATATAAATTTATATGATTTTTTTGAAAATTTGAGCGGCCATGTTGTTCATACGGCATGTAGTTTACGGCATTTAGGTTTATTTCTCAAAGGTATATTTTGATAACTTTTTTGTTTAATAATTTAATATAAGTAGTTTTGAATAATTATGTAAAAATATTAGGTTTATACTAATACTAATACTAATACTAATACTAATACTAATACTAATACTAATACTAATACTAATACTAATACTAATACTAATACTAATACTAATACTAATACTAATACTAAAACTAAAACTAATACTAATACTAATACTAATACTAATACTAATACTAATACTAATACTAATACTAATACTAATACTAATACTAATACTAATACTAATACTAATACTAATACTAATACTAATACTAATACTAATACTAATACTAATACTAATACTATGCTATACTTTAAAACATGAATTTACTCCATAAAACCGAAGAGTTTTCGCGGTATGAAAATGACCTATTTTTACTATATTCTATAAATAGCAAAAAATTCCAAAAATATCTCATTTTTAAACAACGATAACTCTTCGGTTTGATGGAGTAAATTCATGTTTTAAAGTATCATTATAAAGAGTAACATTCTGGAATTCACTCATGCGATTTTATTTTAGTTTCCTTGTAAAAAAGGGCAATTTACCCGCGAATATTTCAATGCCACTTTGAAGGTCATATTCATTGACCCAAAACATGCATAAATACAATGGGAATTTAACATAAGTCAAACGCGATATTTTTACATAATTATTCAAAACTACTTATATTAAATTATTAAACAAAAAAGTTATCAAAATATACCTTTGAGAAAACGAGATCTTCCGGCACAGCAAAAATCGCAATATATTTTAACAGTTTTTAATCGAACGGCGTGTTGAGAATAAATATCTTGAATAATAATGAGCCGCACCGATTTGCGCGTTGCATTTCGGGAAGACCCTCAGTCCTCCTCTGGACCGGACGCGATTTGACAACGCGACACGAATTTTCAGTTTCAATACATTTAACTTTAATATTTTTCAATGTTTTTCAAATTTTCGGAACCACTTAGGCAATTTTAGCTATTTGGTCTGCATTCTTGTAAAACTTTTATCCGTTGACGGATGAAAACTGAAAATTCGCGTCGCTTTGCCGAATCGCGTCCGGTCTGTGTGGGCATTAACGCTCCAGCTCGGGAAACGACAGAAATCGATTCTCAAGGTCAAATTACATCTACAGCGTGCGATTAAAAACCCGATATTTTGAAATGTTCAAAATAACTATTTCTACTGGCTTCGGGTTTTGTTATTACTCGTTAGGTTTATTGGGTGTTTAAACTGTAGCTTTTGGTTGTATCCACTTTTGTCAAGAGCTTTTTGTTATGGCGTGGAGACTTGTTCGAATGAATCTTGATCAGAGGATATTTCGGTTAGTCGTTTGTTAATGGATAATGGAATATTATGCAGAACACTAGGTGGGTGGTTAGACTTCATGCTATGCACATAAAGAGGTGTGTTGTTAGGCTTAGAGTATGGATGATATTTACCAGTGGTTAGATTCAGTGTAACGTCAAGGAAATTCACGATCTTTTTGTTCGCTTCGATAGTAAATTTCAGACCATGGTTGTTGAACAAAGTTCACAGATCCTTCTTAATTAGTTCTATTTGGCGGGGTGTTACTTTGATAATGCCCAAGCCGTCGTCTTTTATATATAAACCAAACTCATTACCGTGTTTCATCGTAATAATGTGTGATAGAAAAGATCCAACCAATTCACCAGATTTGGCACCGTCAAAGCTACCCATAGTGACATCAAATAGATTTGATGACAATTTCTTTCCCCAGTGCTTGCCCAAGTTGTACAAGCACGATTTCTTCGCATGTAAAATACTTTCTCTTTCCGTATCTGTGATGTTATCATACTTGAACGCAAAATCTTAAGCAGCCTTCAGAAGATCAATTGAGGTGGACGGATAGAAATCAACAACATCAAATGCAATATATGAGTACTGGCTCTTATCTGCAACTTGATTAAACCAGGAGAATAGAGAATTGGTGCTTTTCCACTGGTTTATGCGCGTAGCTTCGATGACTTTTGTGTTAATTCTATCCAGGATAAGTTTGCTAACTCTTCCAATTTCAGATTTGCTGTAGGGATGATATGGCGGCAAGTCGGGCTGTTATCAAAATTTGGTTTGTGATCTTCCAACGTTACAAAAGCTTCTCTCTGTGCTGTGGTGTTAATTCTATCAGCAAGGTTTAATTTTTCAGCAATGGACTTAGCTTCGTTTTTAATGTCGCAAACTGTCTCAGCCGGGATTGTCTTATACGTTTTCGTTACGTTCTTATGAAGAAGATCATTATAAGATTTAGGGTCCATTTTATACAAATTAGTGGTTTTATCTGCAGGAACAAATAGCATGTTGGACTTATTTATCTTGTTAACATCATTGAATAACACCTTCTGAAGTTTACACTTTGTATCTTTAAACTTAATGTTCTGAATCATTTTTAACATTCTATTTTCAAAACTCGTAAGTTCTGGAACTTGTGATTGGGTTGCTTTTGAATTAAATCCATAGGTTTATTTGGTCTTGTGTTCATTTTGAGGGTTTAGATATAACTGTGCTTTCCATCTCATCCGTCTGCACAGCTCTTCCGTTTTCTCAATAAGTTTCTTGCTTTTGTCTTTTTCCGATGGTACTGGAATATTTTTCTTGGAATAGTCAAATTGCATCTGTCGCTTCCATGTCAAAGTCCGAGTTTATTATAAAAAGTGCTCGACAGAAAAGGAGCAAATATAAAATTTGGTTTTGTTGGTTATAAAAACTTGGGGAAAGAAATTGTCATCAAATCTATTTGATGTCATTATGGGTAGCTTTGACGGTGCCGAATCTTGTGAATTTGGCTGGAGCTTTTCTACTATACCTTATTAGGATGAAGCACGGTAATAAGTTTGGTTTATATAGAGACGACGGCTTGGGCATTATCAAAGCAACAGCGCGCCAAATAGAACTAATTAAGAAGGATCTGCGCACTACAACCATGGTCTGAAAATTACTGTCTAAGCGAACAAAAAGATCGTGAATTTCCTTGACGTGAAACTGAATCTAACCACTGGTAAATATCATCCTCTTTATGTCTATAGCAAGTCTAAACACCCACCTAGTGTTCTGCGTAATATTCCATTATCCATTAACAAACGACTAACCGAAATATCCTCTGATCAAGATTCATTCGAACAAGCCCCCCCCCCCCCCCCCCC